GACTTGATAACAAATGAAATTACATGTTGTATGTTTCAAAAATTGGGATAAAATGTAATTTTTTTATTGCCAGATTGATCACTCACTCATTTCGGCCCTTGCGATAAAATTGTAATGTTTCAACAATGCCCGGGGATGGAATCAGTTCAACCAATGCAGTGGACGGCTCCAATTCGAAATCACCATCAACGTCTGTATCCGACGAGTCACTGTCAGGGACTAGACCTTCATCAACCTCCTCCTTGGAACTATCAGTACGCCACGACGGATCATACATGTCATTGGCAGGAATCACATCTAAAGGTTGTGTTATTGGGGGTGATGGTGGTGGGGGTGACACATGCATATCTTCGGGATTTACTTGCGGCTCCCTGTTAATGTCTATGGAGTAACTGATAGGGATGAAACTTTGAGTGCTTGCCTCTCCATCGGTGTTTAGTTCCGCATATAACTCGATGTATGAGGACTCTCCATGTTGTTGAAATGCATCAACTACTAGTGACACATCTTCATCCTCAACCACCTCCACAGCAACCCATTGCACCGGGTTACCAGAAGCACATCTAGCAATCAGTCGAGGCAGGGATTGACCTCGTTGTAATCTCAACTTCTTGTATATGATTTTCTCCAGCTCAGTATATTTGCAACGCGGACTCATTCGGAACATCTTTGTATCTCCTTCAAACACTTGACCGTTCGGTCCAAAATATCTTCTCCCATTGTAATATAGAATACATATTACATCATTGTTACTCTCACTCATTTTATGTACTGAAATAGCAAAAAACAACAAACAAGAATGGACCTTTAAAGGGAAAACGCACAACAATGACAAAGTGGGTCTGGAAGGGAAGGGGTGGGGTTTAAATAGCACTGAGTTCGCTACCTTGGCCAGTGAACTGTAACTGTCGGTAGGTAGTTTGCTTCCCCATGCAGCGAACTTCTGGGGAGCTGCCACGTGGCACAAAGTTCGCTTATGGATCCAGCGAACTGTGTTAGTTGTTGCCACTTGGCACCTAGTTCGCTGTCCCAGTCAGCGAACTGTGTGCCAATTGACACATGGCAATGAGTTCGCCTTCACCCCCAGCGAACTAAGTTCCTGTCAGACACGTGTCACACCAAGTTCGCTGGTAATGGCAGCGAACTGTGCGTGGGTGTCAACATTTATTGCAATCAAGTTCGCCTGTGTTAGAAGCGAACTCCTGCACCACCGGGAAGCTGACACATCAGCATACCTAATTCGCTACTACTCCAGGCAAACTTGCCTGCGTGGCAGTTTGGGAAAATAGTCCGTAGACGTGGCATTTAGATAAAAAAAAGTCTTAAAACAATGGCACAATGGTAAGTGTTCCACTTTTACTTGCCTTGACGCGCTGCAACCCTTAGATAATTAAAGCGGTTAGTACATTAATCGGAACCCAGATTTTACAATTTTAAATACTTGGATGATTTGCCCAAAAAAAAAATTGCTTATGTGAAAATTCTAATAATATACCTTTGTTTACTAAAAAAAACTAAAACAAATACATAATCGCATTTTTAATTAGGCATTGTGTTATATTTTTTATTTGATTTATCAAAATTTATGTGGAATAACCACTTCACATAAAAATAATAATAATAATTACAATAAAAAGGGTGATGCTATTTTACCAATTTTTTTATTTTTTTTGGTAAACAACCAAAAATAAGTTACCAAATTTTATTTTTAAGAAAAGTTACCAATGAAGTTGTATTATTTGTTTTTACCTTAAACTTTTTTCTGTGGGACTCACAACAATCAATTACAACCTCTTTAACGGGACATAAAGAAACCAATCTCTTTTTTATTTTGTCGTTCTTAGTCGTTGATAACTTTTCTTTTTTTTTGGTATATCGTTGATAATTTATTTGTTTCCAATGAAAACTGTAACTGTCTTATTAATATTTTTACGCATTATTTATTGAAATAACTTCAATTTAAAAAACAAAAATATATTTTTTTTGTATTGCGAAAATTCTCTATTTACCTGATTTATCATGATAATTTAATTGTAGGAAATAAAGAATGAATATGAAATGTCTCTTGTTTAAAGAGGTAAAATTGTTTTTATCTCTCTCAACTCAAGTGGTCCTCACAGAGTCACAGGCAAGATCCATCCCTTCAAAGATAATAAGAAAGAACACGAGAATATGATGTTTTTTCAAATTAAAATTGCATCTTGATATATTTCTTTTTCAAATGATTAACTTTTTTATAATAAAAAAATAACAAAAGTACAATTATGTATTTGTTAAAAACAATTAATATTTTATTTTGTAGTTTTATCATATAGTAGAGAATAGTTATTCGAATTTTAGGTCAAGTTATCCTTCCAAATCATAATAGACATAAATATCAATCAATCAAATTTATAAGAGGGCCGTGTTTGTTTAATTGTGTAGCATGAGTGGGACATGCCATTAGCTGTGAACAACAAATTTCCCAATTCAAAGGGACCTCAATTGGTCAGTTAACACTTTTCGAGTTGACGTCTCCCCTCATTTCCATGCCCTTGAGCAGTGGCATCTCTCTCCCATCACCTAAAAAAGGCATAAAGATGTGCTCTTCCCCTTTGATCTTTTTCTACCCATGCCATCCAATCAAATAATGTCAAAAGCAAAAGTAAACATGCCAAAACCTATAATCAAGGAACTGAAACAAACATAATTAATGTCATGATTAACATGTGCCTAAGATTGCTGTTTTTAGTAGCCTTTTTTCTTTTGCATTATTTGACTGCATGTTTGCATACGATAATTAAATATCCTAGTTTCGAAACTAGCTCAATATACTCGATTTGGTTGGTAGAAATTAAAGACTACAAAAAATCTATATCTAATGACCAACAAGATATTGTTGGATAAATATAGTGTACATTCGGTAGGCAGCCTGAGCATTTGAGTGCCACCTTTACAGCTTAAGTTTCATAGGTTCATGTTCAGGTTCAGGTAGAACTCAGATTAGCCACACACACAAAAAGTTCAATTGCAGCTCATCATTAAAATAACTAATTATTTTGAAACATGAATTTTGTTTGAGAAATATAAAATTGTTAATATAATTTCATCCAATAACTTAAGATTTTAAGTTAACATATGGTGTTAGATCACTTGTTGTGAGTTTGTTGCGTAGGCTCATTTGAGATATGAATTGATTATCTTTCTTAATTGAGCTCTCCTTAGCTAGTGTGATATCAAAATCAATGGTTGATTGGCTTGGTATATCAAGTATTAGAAATGATAGTTGGTGTTCGGATTTGTACTATGCACAAACCTATGTTATAAACCAAGAGACCACCCCACTCCCATCAAGTCAAATAAGCTTCCGCAATTGGTGCGTGTCTGATTGAATAGTCACTAACCAACAGTTCTTGGGTAGTGTCTTTATTTCTAGTATATATATCCATAATTCATTTATTAAGAATTTTCTTTTAAATTATGAAGATTTAAGTTACGCAAAATTTTTGGTGGATTATCATATATAAGGGTTGTTAGAGAATAATATAAACCATTAAAAGGTCTTCACTCAACACAATAAAGGTTTTGGGTTGAAGTGATTCTTTACAAGGATAATGCTAATTTTTATTTTTATTTTTTTGGTTGCCCACATTCTTCTACTTACAAAATATTTAGATTCGTAAATATAATTAGCCCTCGAAATACATATGTTCACAACTATGGGTGTAATTAGGCCACGGTAGGCCAGGCTTTGACCTTCATGGCCTAGGCCTACACACACAAAAGTTTAGCCTATTTGGCCTACGAGCCTATCAAAGGCTTAGTTTAAAGGTCAACCCTTCCCTGTTATTTAAAAATAAAAAGCCTACATGGCCTATGAGGCCTTTTAGGCCTACCATATTGCAAATTAAATAAAAAATATATATCTCATTCATTAAACAATATTTCTAGCATGGGTTTAAATTATAAAAATTCTACAATAAATTTTTTTAACAAAAATACAGATTATAAAATTGTTATACAATTGTGTTGATCGAGGGACGGGGACATCAAACAGAACTCATACTTGAAAGGGTTGTTAACAAATACAGAACTCATACTTGAGAAGGAGATTATTGAAAACATAAGTGTGAGTGAAATAAAATCTCACATCAAAAATGAATGAACTAAGCATGATACATATAAGTGAAAAGATTTCATATACCCAAAATCTTAAGATTTTAAGTCAAAATATGGTCACATCCCTTGCTGTGAATTTGTTGCTTAACCTTGTGAAGTAGACTAGCTTAATTGGGCTCCCAATTGATTCTTTACAAATTTTATTAAAATCTCCTACATTTTCAATCTCATATATTATATATTGATTATCATTCCGATCATGCTTATAGATGGGAGTCGCATTTGCCTGGCTCCCAATTGGTGCGTGCTCTCTCTTTCGTCACTATACCATCCATGATCACCACTTATCGAATTTCAGTACAGGATCACCCGAGACTCTCCCCGTTGTCACAAAACCTCTATAAAAGGCTATTATACTCTAATGGAACACTTATACACACTTTAAGCGCAGAATTCTCCCTTGCAATTTAGAGCATTTCCACCACCCTGCTTCAGTTGTTCACACACACCTTTTATTCTTAACATCAATTTGCTAGAGGGTTCTTATTAGTGGATTGAAACATCAACTTCCCCAAGCTGGACTTTCTGGTTCAATCCAACCGAACAACTAACATGGATGGAAACACTCGTATTGGTTGGGAGTGCATAGATAAAATTCACAATGTATAATGAAAGGGTAATACTTCTCTCATTTAACATGAGAGAAGTTTTTTTTCTTACACTAACAAGAAATGTGGAGCCCACAAGTTAAAAATAAATAAAAAAGAAAAGAAATTGGAGGCACGTCTTTTTATATCTCACTAACATGAGATAATTATCTCCTACAGTTGGAGAAAACTATTTCCGATAATGAAATGATACAAAAGCTTGATAATATTAATGAATATCCTCAAGTAGGGGAATAAAAAAGCATCGTTACATAATCATATTATACAACAATATATTATAGTAGTAACAGTACTAGCTACTAGCTAGCTAGAAGAAGCATGTAATGTAAATGTAAATGTAAATGTAGAAGAGAAAATAAAAATAAAAAAAAAAAAAAAATGGCTCAATCCAAAGCATTGGGACCAGAACAAGCCTTCAAAACAGGGCTCCAAATCCATTGTACCAAGAACTTCCTACCTCGAATGCCATTGAGGTTAAATGTATTTCCATCTCTGTCCTTCAAAACTTGACCAATGTAACCGCCTCCTCCACCTGTTCCGTACAGACCCTCGCACAGGTCACCGATCTCGGTGGGTGCGGTGGGGTCTTCGCCGGCGTACCACGCGTTCACCAGCGGGTTCGACGACAGCTCCGCCAGCTCGTGTCCGATCACGCTAACCATCCCGTCCACCCCGACGTCGCCGTTCGGCGGCGAAAGCTGCCCCGGTCCACCTCCTCCCATGTACCCCGGCACCGCGAACGGGTACGCGCACACCTCCGGGCACTGTTTTCCCGAATTCCCCACCCACGCGTACGGGAGCGTGTACCCCACCATCGACGGGAACGTGAAGTAGTGGAACCCGCAAACGGCGCGGCAGTAGTCCTCCATCGTCACGTCGTCGGCGGTGAGGATCAGGTAGATTCCGTTGCGGTGGTCCACCGGGAAGGGCTTGGATCGGACGGCGTTAGCGATCACCTGCTGAACGGACAGGCGCGTGAGGTGCGTGCCGTGGGAGTATCGGAGGTCGGAGTATTCGCCGGCGACAGAGACGGTTCGGGAGATGTTGGCACCGGTTTGGTCGGTGTAGAGGGAGACAGTGCGCCACCAGTCAGCGACGGAGGGGGACGGTGCGGCGCGGTGGTTGGCGGCGGAGATGGATTGGAGGAAGTCCTTGATGAGAAGCTTGTGAGGTTGTGACCACTTGCCGTACCAGATGACGTAGATGTTGATCGGAGAAGAGAGAACAGGTCCCATGTGGTATTTGAGGTTAACGAGGTTTGAAGAACCCTCGAATCGCTTCGACGAGGATAAGGTTCGGAGAGGTGGGACCCTGGGATTGAACTTGGTGTTCAGAGTTTGGAACTCTGCTTCTTGTTCATTTCCTAAGCATAATTGAATCAAAGACAAAAGAAGAAGGAACTTGGGTAGTAGCGGTGACATGGTGCTGTGTAATAAGAAGGGTTTGAGGAATGGTGTGTGATTTTTATTGAGTTGAAACGGTGGTAGCTGGTGGAGATATATATAATGTAATTGTAGAGTGAGTGAGTGAGGTGAGTGAGTGAGTAGAATGAGGAGAATAGTGGAAAAGAGAAAAAAAAAAATGCATTTGATTGGGAGGGAAAAAATGTGCTGGAGACAGCTGCCATGTGTGGGCGCACTTTACTCTTCAAAATCTACCAAAAACAATCATAAATATCTCTCTCTCTCTCTTTTTATTTTACTTTATCTTTCTGTTTGTTTTTGAAATCCGAGAATCGTTCACTTTTTGATCTCGTTGACTAACCATTAACGTTTTACTGTGTTTCACATGCGTTCGTGAGTAAATATTACTACTTCACTTGCACTTTTGTTGTTTTTGTTTACCCTGATGCTGGTTACTTTAATTTACTGCTCTCTAGTGGGGATAATGGGGTTTCAGCAGAAAAGGGCTGAAATGCCCATGATGGATATTCTCGAGTATCATTGTTCAATCTAAGAAAAAGATAGGGAACTGGTTGGTGGGTACGGAAAAAGTATGAGAAGGTGGTGAACAGCTTGGCATGTTGGGATGGTTGCAGTTGCAGGCTTGTATGTATGGTGCTAAAGGAGAAAGGAGTGTTCCTAGCCATGGAATTCATGAAGCTTGGCCGCAAGGTTTGTCATTTGAAGTTCTTCTGTTCCGATTTTCCGTTGTTGGCATGTGTTTGACAGTTTGAGATTTTACGTATATGTTCCAGTGAGATTCTGAATTTTAACTTCCTCTTTTCTTGGGTTGTCGATGGGAAATGTTGGATTACATAAATGATGATCTGGTAGATGGTGAACATTTCAGACAATGTGTTAGGTAAGTCTTGTGATTTCTGAGTGAAGCGTGCAATGGCGAAGAACTATTTCTGCACATTTTCCTATTCCTGGGGAAGCAATTTTGGGCGATTCTTTTATAATGTTAAAGCTCTTTGCGACTTTACTTTAGCATTGGTCAATCTTTTTTGTTTTTTTAAATAGGAAATTTCCATTTCCGTATGTATGAAGTGATCTACACAACCTGTTAGAACTAAGTGTCAAGTGACTCCCTCACTCGCCACAAATGTTGAGTTAAGCCAAATTTTCTTTTCTAGCTGTTCTCTTCATAATAAATTTTAAATTAATTTCCTCAATTGTAGTAAGTTGATTGTTGTGTTTCTGTGAGAAGTTGATACCATAAAGAAAGTTTGTATTTACTTTTATTTCTCAATGAATAGAGATTACAGGGATTTCTACACTCGCGTGTTATTTCCACTTCTTGTACCTGCCGGGGAGAAATTTTTTTAAAGGGAATGGAAGTAATTTAAGAATAAAATGATCTTATGCTTGGTTTGCTGAGGTTTCTGTCAATTGCTATCAAATTTTTAGCATTGTATCCTGAATGTTTGCTTTTATGTTGTTCATTTTGGATTTGGTTGGTTATACATTAGCCTCAAGATGCTTATGGTCCTTTCGGAATTTGATTTTGAGTGCTGTATTGGGTGGACAAAATATATATGGTCCTTTCGGAAAATGGAAGTTGAGCAGCTTCCAGCTGTAGATTTTAAGCATATGCCACAGAATCTTGGATTTTTCTTTTGACAATTTTTGGATCATTATTCTTTCTAATGCAGTAGGCAGAGAGAAGGCCCTCGATGCATCCTGCACAATGGGAAGCCTGTTGCTTCCAATGATAGGTTTGAGATCTGGGGGGACTATGTCTTAAATTTTGTTAGCAATTGTTTCACTCTCGCTAATTTTGGAATTGCAAATTTTCACGTGTTCATTTATCATACTCAAAATGTAAGCAATAGGTCTTTTCCATCAATGTTCTCAAATACCCTGTCATTTTGCAGTTCTCCTTATTTATTTTTTGCATGATGGTGACTTTTTATGTCAATAGTTGGCATTGCACTGATTATAAAGTTAAAATAGTAAAATGCACTTTGAAGTAAATGAGGGTTGGCATTGGCAATAGGTCTTTTCCATCAATGTTTTCAAATGCTCTTTGAAGTAATAAAAGTCTTCCCTGACCTTGCATGAGGACGTGCTTTCCCCTAATCTAAACTTTCTTTCTAAAAAAATGCACTTTGAAGCCTTTTGTTGCATGTCAACGCCACGGTGATATAAACTTATCTTTATATTACTTTGGAATGTTCTTTTGATTGAAATGAAGGATTAGCAATGGGTCATAAGAGCTACGTTTCAGGAGACAATGAATATTGGAAGTGATGTGGTAAGCAACTAAGCATGAATGATGGTGGAGATAGTTCTTGGTTTTGAGAATCAAGAGATCCATTCCATCATACTCCTGTCTAGAGGTTGTGTGTGGTTAAACTCGGGTAAAGTTCTGATAAGAAGACTGACCACCTTCCATGAAATTTAAGGTACAAATATGAAGCAATTAGGAATTCGTTCTTGGCTCATAGTGAGTGATCTTCATTATGTTTCCTCTGTTCATGCAGGATGGATTGTTTGGATCAAAGAAAAGATTGAAACAGAAAGTTGAGGGTATTCATGTTTACATCTTGTTTTTCTGGCAAAGAATGATACTTGTTATTGTTAAGCCAAGAAATTATCCAGGTTGCGTGAAAGGGTTTCTGCATTTTCTTGCCCCATGCACCTTTGTATTTTTGTTATTTTTGGACGTGTATAGATATGAATCCTGCATTTACTAGTTTTTTTTGTCTTTTTGGGGGGTCTTCTACCTAAATTAAGCCTTCTTTATTTACTTGTTTATCAGAAACGAAAAAAAAAAAAAAAAAGTGCTATTGGTTTATGTTTATTTGGATGAAACTATCTGGCAAGTTGATCTCCAATGGACTTTGTATCTGTTAAATATACTTTTGCTTGTTTGGAAGAAATGAACTCGTGGATTTGAGGTAAGCATTGCATAGCTAGTACTTGTGTTAACTGGAGCTTCTTGATCTCATTATATTTGTATCAATAATTGACCCGAAGCCATTTCAATGATGGCTATTCTTAATGTTTGGCTTTGTATAGTTTAACATTATGGTTCACGTTTCATCTGCGTTCTGCATGGGGAAATGAGCTTCCCAATTTACCCTTAATGCAGGAAATTGGGTTGACAGAAATCAGAGTCTTAACATATCTCCAAGTATGGTTCTATTTTAATAAATGTGGAAGTCTTAGGAACTCTCCTTAGTCTGGAAGAATTGGAAATAAATAAAAATACACTCCAAATACCCGAGGGGAGAGTTAAAATTTAAACTTTGGATTAGAAAATTGTGTCAGGGGAAGCTCGTGGGGGGGACCATCACCAACGAGTTAAGTTATTTCAAGTACACCAAGTGAGTCCGACACTATCTCTTAACCCAAAATCTTAAGGCTTTGGGTTCATGGGTTCTTCCACTTATATACTCTTCACTTAACCTATTATCAACCAATGTGGGACTTATTACACTTGAATATCTCAACAATTTCTCCCTCAAGTGTGAAACCCACCATTGGTTTGGTATGCTCTCCCTCAACCGAGTACCCCAAGCGCAAAGTACTCGACCCGTCTCCTAGCCAATCACCAGGCTAGCTCGAGCCCAACTCGGCTCTGATACCAATGTCAGGCGGGTCCAAGGGTAAGCCCGTGGCGGGGGACCACTACCAATGGGCTATTTGTTAGGCTTCCTCCTTCAATGCTAAGTCCAAGCCCATAGAGGAGTTTCTTAAAAATCATAAACTCTAGATCTCACCTCCTCTATATATTCATTAGTTGTGGGTGGAGGCTAAGTTAGTAGACAGATTGAGAGATCAGAAATTTGAGAGATTTGAGCAAAGCTTTATGCTTTGTATTTGAGAGATCTCTAGAGAGAGTTTGTGAAAAAACTTCTCTAGGGAGGTTTGATTATCACCATTGTTGAAAAGGTTGAGTTAACCACCACATTGGTGAATTTGATTCTTTGTAACCATTATTTTCATAGTGAATTTTTGAACTGGACTAGGTCTCGTGGATTTTTACTTCTTCATTGGAGAAGGTTTTCCCACGTTAAAATCTGTTTGTTTTTCTTCTCTATCTCCTATTTGCGTTTTTTGATTTTCCGCTGCCCGACCTAGTGAAGTTCAGGTCGAGATAATTGTCGAGATCCAGAATCTTGTTGTTTGATTTTCGTGAAAAGGCTGCTTAGCCGAGTTTGAGGGAACTGAGTTCCCAACAAATTTTTGGGAATATGATGTCAAAATGAGGGAAATAGTCACATAATATTTGTGCTAGTTGGGTTACAAAATTATTAATTCAAAAAGGACCAATTTTTTGTGTGTGTCTATTTATATTTATTCACCCTGTATAATAAAGTGATGTTTTAAGGCTTGTTTGGTGTGATGTATAAGATCTGATAGCATAAACTTATATTATACAATATGATATTTTCAATTATTTGATGTAATCATCATATAGTATAAGTTTATACAGCATAATCTCTTAATATATCAAAATGATGTATAACTTAATCAGATCTAAAGGGAAGGGATTAGGCCTGATAAGGGGTTGATGTATTAACATCGTTGATCAATGTAATTTTCAAGAGATAATATATTACTTTAATATTAATATATTAAAATAAAAATAATGTTTCAATATATTAATTTTTAAAATATTAAGGGGGAATTTTAAATTAATATATTTTTTGTATTCACTGACCAATAGATTTCTATAAAAATTAATATCATATGACATATTTGAAAGAATAATATAAATTCTTTTTTAACTGATATTTTTGTCAAAAATATTTTTTTAATCCTATTTTGTATTTTATAGTACGTTACATGATATTATCTTAAACAATATATTATCTTATACAATATCATGGAAAATATTGGATAATGTCAAAATTTAATCAGATCTTATACTATTAGGCCTTAGACTATCATATGCACTAACATACTCTTATTTTTAGTGTGGAATAATGGCAAAAAAATTTAATTAATGTTTTTTAATAAAATAATTACGCATTTATTACAGTTTTGGGAATAATTATGGATCTATTACACACTGTCACGCCTCTTTTAGGCATCACATGTGACGCCCTATTGAGGCGTCTCATCTTAAGGGAAAGACGCCCAAATGGGGCGTCTCTCATGAGGTGTTGACACGTGTCACTTTTTTTCCAAAAAAAAATTAACTTAATCTTAAAACTTCTAAATGCCATAACTTTTGACTCGAGTATCCAAATCAGGTAATTCTTTTTTTGATTACACATAACTTTTCGAGACCTACGCAATGACATCTCATTTGATATATTTTATTTCTCACCAACATAATTTAAATTTAAATCAGGTAATCCTTCTTCTTTAGATATTTAGAATATTTATTTAATTATTTCCTTTATTAATACATATTTTTCAAATTGATTTTTGAGTTTAAATCACAAATCAAATCTTTATTTTGTTTTCCTTATTAATAGTAATTGTTACTTTTAATTTAAATCACAAACCAAATTTTTTTATAATAAAAATAAAAAATTTATTTTTTTAATTTAAATCACAAATCAAATCTTGATTTATTTTTTGTATTAAATCACAAACGCAGAATTCAGAGGTTCCTGAGTTTAAAAATGTGACACGTGTCAAAACCTAACACATCACCAATCACTTCTAAATTGGGCTTCAATCAATAGGCAATCACGCCTAATATAGGTAATTTTAGTTTTGAAAAAATTCATAAGTAATCATTAATTTCAGACCACGAATAATAACACAGAAGCTTATAGCATTAATCATTAATTTTAAAAATTATATCCTTCTACCTTAGAAATTTAGAATATTTATTTAATTATTTCATTTATTTCTACAGATTTTTCAAATTGATTTTTTAGTTTAAATCACAAATCAAATCTTTATTTTGTTTTCCTTATTAATAATAATTTTTATTTTTATTTTGAATTTAAATCACAAACCAAATTTTTGTTATAATAAACAAAATTATTATAAAAAAAATTTAAATCAAAAATCAAAATTTTATTTACTTTTTATATTAAATCACAAATCCAGAACTCAGATGCTTCTGGGTTTAACCGCTCTTATAATATCATTCGTGCAAATTAAAATTGTGTTTGTGAGAAATAAAATATATCAAATGAGATGTCATTGCGTAGATCTCGAAAAGTTATGTGGAATCAAAAAATGAATTACCTAATTTGGATACTCGAGTCAAAAGTTATGACATTTAGAAGTTTTATGATTAAATTAAAAAAAAATTTGAAAAAAAATGACACGTGTCAACACCTTATGAGAAACGCCCCATTGGGTGTCTTCCCCTTAGGGTGAGACGACTCAATGGGGCGTCACATGTGACGTC